AGTGAGAAAGTGAATGTTTGGGGACTGTAGTGATTGTATTATCTTCCAGAGTGGTTAAGCAACCTGCCCAAGGTCACACAGCTCAGAAATAAAGGTATGGGTGAATTTATGCTACAGCTGTCCTCCTACCCTGGCCACAGTTACAGGTCCTGATGTCACTAGAGACTAAATACTGCCTCTCACAGCTCAGAGCTGGAGGGGCTTTTGGTTAGTTACTCCAATTATGCCCCTGACTTGAGAAATGGTCTACTGAAGCCTGGAGAGGTCACCAGGCTATGCAGAGGAGCTGGCTCAATGGTCTTCCCACTGCTGTCTCTGTGCCAGATTTGTGTCCCCATCTTTCATGTGACATGGCAAGATAGGGTGTTGGCAATATAGTTGGTCTGCATGAGTCTAAATCCTGATTTGTGTCCCCATCTTTCATGTGACATGGCAAGATAGGGTGTTGGCAATATAGTTGGTCTACATGAGTCTAATCCCATAGTTGGTCTGCATGAGTCTAAATCCTCACTCTGTCACTAATACCTGGGTGACATACTGATCTGTGGCTCAGTCCCTCCACTGTAAAAGGGGCATAATAAAAGGGGCTACGTATAGGAAATAATGAGTTCATACATTTAAGGAACTTAGAATGATACCTGGCAAGTGGTGACTGGTCTGTAATATTAGCTATTATTTTGTTTTCTTTATTCATAGCATAAAAGACATTTTTATTCCAGACAAATATGCTAGGACTGGCATGCCTAGCTCTGTGTCCTGTATTGTCTTTATCAACTACCTGAGCAGGTGACCGGTAGTCCAGAGAGAGTCATCATACTTCCTCCAAAGTTGTGATCAGCGCTGGGGACATAAAACCATGAGCAAGACAGTCTGTGCCTTTACGGCACATACAGATGGATGCCTTTTTGTTCCCACCTACACCCCTTTCTTACTGAACATTTTTGCTTTAAATGATTCATGTTTTTACAAATATTTTGGTATCACTCACAGTGCCCCATAGAAGCAAAACCAATGGGATCTATATAGGTAGATTTAGAAAAAGAGAAAGAAAGAGAAATTTATTTTTAAAAATTGGCTCATGTGATTGTGGGGACTGGCAGGTCTGAAATTTCTGACTGGCAGCCTTGAAATTCTGTCAGGAGTTGATGTTGTAGTCTTTAATCTGAAGGCAGTGTAAAGGCAGATTTCCTTTCTCTTCCAGGAACCTCAGTCTTTTCTCTTCAAGCCTTCAACTGACTGGACGAGGCTCACCCCATCCAATTATGACAAGTAATCTGCTTTACTCAAAATCTGCTGATTTAAATGGTAATCACATCTAAAAAAAAATATCTTCACAGTAATATCTACACTGGTGTTTGACCAAACAACCGGGTACTATATAGCGTAGCCAAGTCGACCCATAAAACTAACCATCACCCATTTTCACCCAGTCCACCCATTGTCAACTTGGCACACATCTCCTTAAGCCACACTTAAGTCTGAATAAAGACAAAACAGGGTCATACTTCCACCTAAAATGACACAACTATCCTGTGTACAATTGAAAATATACTAACCCTTTACCCAGAAGA